TGTAAGCAAAGCTCTTTTTGAGGGCTTCCGTGGTTGGTCTCGGAATTAAAAAAAATGAATGTTCATAAGCCCGGAGATTAAAGTTGTGTTTTGGACGGTGTTTGCTAAGATAATTGCAACAAAGGTTATCCGCATCCTTCCGCAGATTGCATGCGTATCGTTATTTAAGGTACTCCGACTATTACTACTAGGAAATTTAAACTTGTGTATATGCATTGTTTGAAAACAGTCGGGAAGTGGAGAGGCTTCGCCTCGTGCCTAGCTAGTTCTCGCAGCAACATACACTAGCACGTGTATGTGTGTGTCGTATTGATACTGAGACTCGCCAATATGACATTTGGTATTTAATCCCTTGAACATCGAGGGCAAAATGGCCAAATAGCGATTGATTAAAAACGGGAACGTGCAATTACGTCGAGTTGAAATAAACCACCTAACAACACATTTTCAGCTCTTAGTGTTACTACGACCGGACTTTTTTTTGTTTTCTGGCACGGGTCGAGGGGTGGGAGGCTGGGGGCAATGGCTCTAGAAGGGGTGCTTCCCCTGTAACCCTAAGGGTATTAAAGTGGTGAAAATGAAACGTGCGTTACAGTACGTCCAAACCTTTTTCTGTGGTTTTTCGATGCCGGATCTCACAGATAGATTTATAAATTAAGACCCTCAAGGAATGTTTATGTTATGGTTCAATTTTTCCCTTGGTACATTTTGGTATATTCCTTTGTTCTGGCGTATGGTAATATTTTGCATGAAATAAAGGGAAAAACCAAGTTGCACCAAGGGTAATATTGAGCCACAACATAATAAGCGGTACAATAGACGTTAGGTATAATGATAAGATATATTTAGTTCTCAAAAGTAATGAATAAAAAACTCCAGGCTCGAATAATCTCCAAAATTAAAGTCAAATCAGTAAATGCCGGATCTACAAAGCCAAGTTGAAATAACGCCAGGGGTGTTAATGGCGAAAATACTGTATTACTTGCGATAATTACAACATTTGTAATCTCGGCACAAGAGAAATGTCAGTAGCGATAAAATGGACAAATTTTATTATATAACGAAAACATTGAACTTAAATACATCAAGGGTAAAAATCGAAGCTATCCTTTACAACTCACACCTGTCGAGAAACTAAAAATAAGGTGAGTGTATTTTTCTTACAGTAACTGTCACATTTTCTTGCACGCTCATTGGGTAATTTTTATCGCACCACCGCACTATCATACACTTAGGTGACGCTGTCGCATGCGGATCCTAAAAAGACTTGCCAGTTTGTTTACAGCGTATTTAATGCTTTTACATCTCAATTGAAGCTTAATTCAGAATAGGGTGCTATTTCCGAATGATTTAACTTTGAAGCGAATAACACCCAGTTTTCAAAGTTTTTTCCTGGAACTAGCTGAACTGAGTCGGTTTTATCGTCGAAGTATTGATGATATTGAACCGAAGTCGGTGATAACTCAGCGAGTTCTCAAGAGATAAAGGTGAGTTACATAATTTGTTTTTTATTTCTATTTCTGAGTTAGTGTATCATTTCATGTAATTTAAATTTTTAGGCCATGAATTGCCAAATCGTTTTGGATTAAAGAAATCCAGATTGCACTTTTATCAAGCATATTCTCTTGTCTGAATTCTGCGTTTGATTGTTTTTGGTTTTTTGTCACTGTAAAAAAAACAAATATGGACCGTCTGCCCTTTTGTTGACTTTTCTTCCTCGTAAAAGAAAAGATTGAAATAAAGGTTTTGATCCTAACTGGGCTGTAAAAGCTTAAACGAAAACAGCGAAAACAAATTGATTAAATTTAGACAGGTTTTACTTTGCATGGTCGGTTTTTGATTACTAACAAACG